TTTTAATTTTTATTACCATATCCATGTATTAACTTTATAACAAAAAATTGGCAAGCATTTTAATGTGGTTTTAAAAATTACGAGTCTAAGCAGAATGAGGTAGACTTCTATGTTCTTATACAAAAGAATGTCCAAGATAATAAATGACTTAAGATACTGAATAAGGATATATATACCGTAATTCTACGCATGTATGTGCATACGTGTGTCCATGTATTTGTACAAAGAAAAGGTCTGGAAGGACAGATACGAACTTAACAGCAGTTACCCCAAGAAAGTGAGCGTGAGAATACCAGGAAACTTGTACTTTTTACATTATATTTTTCTGCAGTTTTGCTACTTTTAAAAGGAGTACTTTTTACATATGTTTTAATTGAAGGTGAAGGCCTTTCCTTGAGCCGGAGCTCAATTAAACCTCCATACAATCCAAACAAGAATTTTTGAATATTTAACAGAAACAGGCAACAGAAAAAATAGAAACTTTTTAGTCTCCCTTAGCTCTTATTCCTGCTAGAAATAATTTGACTATATAATGTTAACCTCTATGTAAGGTTTTGGCTGTTTTTTCAATAATAGTGTCAAAATGTTTTGTTTTAAAGCATGACTCTTATAAGAATATAGAATGAAAAATGTTTAACTCATTAATGAGAGAACCACCAGGGTGGTAAAAGAGCATTTGAAGAACTAGTATTTATGGGCAATGAAGAAAGAATTTGGGAATGAAGTTGCTAGGTTAGATACAAAAGCGGTTAATGTTCTTCAGGGCAATAAAGCCAAAAACTTTGGGGTTATCTTTTCCACCAGACAGAATTTATCTGCAGCTCCTCTGGACAAAAATCTACAAGTTACATGTAACCCCACAGAGTCTGGGCCCTAAGCAAGCGTAAGTAGAAAATCAAGAAAGGCCTCCTAAAGAATTAAAAATGGTCTTCGGGTGGGCCTGTGGGTATGATATCGAAAGGACGTGCAAATCCTCCTTTTGCCTCGTTTCTAAGTGTTGGATGCTTTTTCTGAACATAAGATACAAATTTACACATTGGCAACCATGGCTTTCAAGTTTCCAAATGAAGTTTGCTTTTAATATTAATCTGCTTTTCACCATGTTTTGTCTCTGTTTTCAATAAGGGAGAAAAATGACCAACAAGCAATTCTAGCATTGCAATAATGTTTCATTATAAAGATTAAACATATCTTAACATTGTTTTGATATTCACCTTGACGGGTACTAAAACATTTTAAGAGCATTTTAGATTTTGTATCAGGACAAAAAAACAAGTTCACATATCTGCTTTCAGTTGATGCCAGCAGCAAAAAATCGATACTAATTGCAGTTTCAAATGTTTATATGGACTTTGGACATAACTTTGGGCAAATGAATTTCTTAGCCTCAGCTTCTTCCTCTGTGAAAAATAAGACCTTCTTCACTGCACTGTCATATGCATGATTGTATGCTGACACCTATAAACCCGGGATTACACTGTTGGACCCTTATTTTACTGTTATATTGATTAATGAATACATGCATATTCATAACTTCCGGTTTTGGACTTCCTTATTGGTTTCTTTTTTTTATCATTTGTCTTTTGCTACATGGATGTGTGCTTTTATCTTCTTATAATTTAAAAAGCATACTCTTTTTGTAAAGAGTATAATGGTGTCTTTTGAAGTCCCCTAACATTGGACGTAAAATTTAACAAATCATTCTTTACCTGTCTGACCAAATGCCATTTTAAATTATGGGAATCCCATTCCCATAATTTATTGTCACATTTTCAAGAAATGTAGAAAACACCAAAATGTGAATTCATACAAAAGCTGTTAAAATTACACTTAGCTCACATAGCAACTATTCAATCAGCTTTTCAGCAGGCTCTTGAGAAGTTATACCACGTGTTTGTCAACAATTACTTTTTAAAAAATAACAATCTGTTAACTCAAACACACTAAATAAATTCAACATCACAGTGTCAGGTAGAGATGTACCCTCTGATTTACTCAGCACAAGCTTCTGGTCAGAGAGTATCACATGAAACAAGCTGGAATTGTGCTACATATTTGGATGAAACCAGAAGAGGTAACATCATTTAGAACTCTTCGATCTGTTTTGTGCATGTGCTGTCATGTATTTTGAAGCACTCTCAGGTTTAGCTCTCAACTTGCCTAAAGATGTTTTCTGTGTTATAACTTTATTATTAAGTGCAGTTTGCATGAAAGACCAGGAGACCCAAAAAACTTGAAAAAACTGGTTTTCAAAACTGGGGCAAAATCAGAACATACTTTAAACCCACTGAATTGTACATTTTAAGTGGGTGAATTCTATGATTCATGAATTATATCACAATAGAGCTGGTTTCTTTAAATGCTTCAGAAAGAAGAAAAAAAATATAGTAAACATTCATGCTATTACAGTTTATATTGAAGCTGTCTACTTTCAAATTGTTGTTACTTATAGAAACTTGTTTTTATTGCTCAATTATTTTTCTATCTGTGAAAAGTGGGTATCTTGGGATAAAATGGAATTCATAATTTTTCCAATTAAAATTAATGGAAATATTTTTTTCATTTAATGGCTTTTCATTTAGCAGAAGCATTTCCAGGACAAATTAAAATCATTAAGCAAGAGATAGGTTTAATTACTTGAAACTGAGTTAAATTTTTAAGGGGGCTAGACTTGGCAGAGAGGGAGCCATTGCGATGAGGATCAGGGTAAATGCTGAATTGATTTGCCCTGAGTAGAAGAGCTGAAATATTATAATATACACTGAGAAAGATTTAAGACCTGCAGAATGATAGGGAGCCAGGACTACATTTAGGATTGGGAGGGTAGAGAGGCCAGTGACAGACAGAAAGATAAAGAAAAGAGAAAACAGATAATGACTAAAAGCTGACTGGGAAATTTAGTTTGCTATTCCACCAGCTGGACTATAGTTTGCTATTATTGAGTTCCAAATGTCAGAAAAAAAAAACCAGCTATATGCTTTACAACTACTGTTAGGAATAATTTTCTAAACTCAGAAGTAACTTAAACCCATTCATTATTTTACCTAACTTTGTGAAAGAGAAACTTTATAACAAACCACAATTCTTTTCTTTGTTTTTGCAGAGAAAAAAAACTGGAAAACAATATAGTTTGGGTACTTTTCTCATAGAAAAGGAAAGAACTCAATAAATACTGAAATACGGGAAATATGAATGATAAAGAATATCTTTTTAGGTAAATATCAAAGGTATTGGTCAATCAGAAACTTAGAACCTGAATGTGAAATGCCTAAAGTTTTGAAGTTACACGAGGTAAATGTATCATTCTTTAGTTATTCCCAGTAACATGACAAGAGAAAAATAAATACCTGGGTCTCCAAATTGGCAAGTGCCAATTCTGAACTTCAGGGATTTTTTTTTTCTGATAAAACCAAATGAAAATTTTAAGCAATTTTTCTTTTTCATATTACATCTACTCCCAGTCAAGAATAAAGAGAATATGAGCCAAGAGAAAGTTATTTAAGTATTATTTAAGTACATGATTCCCTGGATGGAATGGCTTTAAGCTCTCCCAAGGTCTAGGGAATTTGCTTTTTTAAAAAATAGTTTTCCTAAAAAGGATTTTTCTATATTTTCATGCAACCTTGTAAGTTCTTTTAAAGACATTTCCAACAAATAGAAAGATAAATCATTTTGGAAAATGTGAATAATTCAAGAAATATAGAGATTTTTCATTTCTAGGCCATCCATTTCTTAATATTCATTCACCTGCAGCCTAAATTCCCCACATTATTTTGCCAGAAATCACTTATTAACTATGAACAGGGCAGTTAGTTTTTCTGCTTCATGAGATCACTTATACTCAAACAATTTTTTTAAGCTGATGATGGTGACTGCATCTGAGAAGGCCACAGGCATTACTCTGAGCCTTCCTCTGGAGACACAAAGCAAATACACTTTCCTTTCTCCCGATTAGGGTAATTTCTACCCTAGAACAGCTTTCCACAGCAGTAATAAACTAGTTTAGGAGATCCTGAGATGCAGGGTCTGAATCTTTGAAAGCCAGACCACACCAATAAAAAACAAAAAAAAGGAGATGGGATATGGCTGGCTTTGGCTTATTCTCCCTTTGAGTTATTCCCAGTTCTCAACAGCCTCATCTGAGCCTAAACGGTTGTTGGAAGTACCCAAATAAAACTGACTTTTTAAAGCTTCTATTTACTAAGTGCTTTTTGTCACTTCCTCACGTCTCTATACATTCCCCCTCCACCCCCAATTTATTATATAAAGAGTCTGAACAGTGCTAGGCTTGTAGTATGTATTCAGCAAATGTCGATGATGATAACAATTGTCATTACCCAGAGACAGAAAACTGTTCACTATTTAAACCTTAAACTATCTTCTCAATGATTTCTAGAGAAAATCAAGTGGAAGTTAGAGTCTTTCAAACTGCTCTCCTATAGGACATGTGTTTATTTTTAAGCCCAAATGTTATGTCTCTCTAGCTATATAAAACTGCTTTCTCTCAAGCAAAGGCTATGGGGAGAAAAGGGGCAAGGGACTAGACTAGATTAAAAGAATTCAAAGAGACACAACAAAATGCAATAAAACTTGATTGGCTCTAGTTCCAGAAATAAAAATCTACCCTTTTTGGAAATAACTGGGGAAATCTGAATGTGAGCTGGACATGGATGACATTGTAGAATTATTAACTTTATGAGGTATTTTAATGGTACTGTGGTTATAAAGGAGGATGTCTTCAATCGTAGAAGATGTGGGCTGAGATATTTAGGGGTGAAGTATTGTGATCTCTGCACCTTATTTTCAAACGGTTCAGCAAAAGTTATATATTTAAATACAGAGAAAAAGCAAATGTGGCACAATGTTAACCGATGAATCTAAGTAAAGAATTTATAGATATTTACTGTATTATACTTCCAAATTTTCTGTAGCTGTAAAATTTTTTAATAAAAAATAGCAAAAAAATAGTTTTACTGAAGAAAATACCACACATTTCCTTAAATATTTTACTGTAATAATATGTACCTATACATTGATATTACTTATTTACACTTTATAAAAAGCATACCTATTCGACCTGGAATTAACTACCTTAAACACATTATTTAAATTTCGGTGCTAATGCATGAATCTCTTTATCTTAAATATAAATCAAAATAGCTCAATATCTATTTTAAATTACATAACTAGACGAAAGTGTAAGGATCATACTCTAGTATTTTAATAAAGTTTAAAACCTCAATAATTATTTTCAATATTTCTTCTTTGTTTTTCTTCTTTGTCTAGAATAGTCTGTTTTAAGCTCAAGGTAGCATCATGAAATCCAGGATTTATGTCTAATACCTTCTTGAAATCTTCCAAAGCATCATCAAAATATCCTGTACCAGAACCCAAAAAAACGAAAAGAGAAAAAAAAAAGCTGAGTATTTCTATATATTATTCATAGCAAAGTTTGGATATACCTACTTTTGCTTTTATATTTACAAACTTCCAACCACTTCTAATAAAAGGATTTTTTCCTCTTAATGATGATGATATAGGGATGTGTATATCAAAGTCATTTTGTGTGCTCTTATGGAATAATACACCTAAAATTAGGTATGGGCCTATTTTGTTGAGATTTAACAGATAAATAGCATAAATCATAAAATTTCAACAAAACTATACCACCTATGATTACATAATTGCAGTAGAACTAAGAAACAGAAAATTTTCTTTTTTTTAACACTTAAAATGAGAAATACTACCTACATAGTCCCTTTAATTCAAGGATCTCTTAAACTTCACTTTCTATTGTGTGTCTTCAAAGAGTTTAACTTGGAAAAGTTTTACAGGCAACCATCAGCATTACCCTCATTTCACAGCTGGGAATGCACAGGCACAATGGAATGGGGTCACCCCCACTCCTGCGCCCAGGTCCAATTCCCACCCCAGTGCTCTGCTGTGATCTATGCCTATGGAAAGCCTAAAATAAACTCAGGTATGCTTCCTTTGTTCCAAGCTCTAAACCTAAATTTTGCATAACTTTAAAACTTGGTTACCACATTAGTTTACAACATTTGAGAGCTCTGAAATAAGAGAGTACAGTCAATGACAAAAGCAAAAAAAAACAAACAAAAAAATTCTTACCCAGCCTATACAGTATCAACCCTCTGTTGTAATACGGAACTTCAAAATTGGGTTGGACTTCTATGGCAGATGTGTAGTCATCCATGGCTTCATAAAAATCAACCCTGAAGTACTTGATTTGCCCCCTGTTGTTATATGCAGTAGCCAAATCCTTAGGGCTGCATTTGCTTTAAACAAAAAGTTCACATTAAAAACACCGTGTTACCAAATTCCTCTCATTTCCACTTTCATTCTCTTTTGGGTATTGTCAAACTTCATAGGCTGTAACATGCAGTATCTACACTGAAAAACCAAGCTGAAGAAACAAGGTACAAATAAATAAACTGAAATCCGTTTTTGTTTAACCGTGTTATCTACTGTTGTAGCACTATACCACTACAATGTCAATCTGCAAAGCGCATTAATTTTATAGTGTGTTCAAAGCCCCTGTTCACTGCCAACTTGTTTTGCTGAATATTAAAATGATTGTTCATTTTCTAAGCACACACCAGCAGGGCAAAGAAGACACATGAGATACATGCTGAGCAAAGGGAGAGCCAATCGAAAGTTCAAGTTTGTTATGGACATGTCACAATATGAATCAATTTTATTCTCAAATTTTTAAGTGACCTTGAAACAATGAAATTTGAAATCATTTTCTACCAATAAAGAGAGTTCACCCTAGGTGAAAATTCAACACACTGATCCCCAGGGAGTGATCTCCCGGTATAGAGTTGTGCTCCTTCCAGCCTTAGCTGAGATACTCCCAACACCAGGCTGGCTTCTTCTGAGGAAGGTGGGCTCCTTTAGCCCCCTTAGGACTCTGGCCCACTTTGGAGATCCTGCACACAGAACTGGCTCTGCACCTGAGGGCTCTAGAGGCTACCTAAAGAGCTTTAAATCAGTAGACTTTCCTGTAAGGGACTGGACGCCAAGGTAGCTCTGACCAGCCATCAGCTCAACAGGTCACACCCCCTTGCTGCCCAGAACCTTTCTCTGCACAAGACAAATCATCTGCACAGACAGCATTAGAGGCTTTGCTGTCACTCAGGGACAATTTTGTTTCCCTTTCTTTTCCTCAAAGTAATTCTCAAATTTGCACCAAACAGAGAAGATGACGGTTAAATTTATCTGTAATTTATTATACGCCATAGTGCCAAGTATAGTCCTCAGAAAATATTTGTGACTACAGACAGTGTTACTATAATAAAAGCTACTTCTCTTAACATCTTGATCCTTGAGATTTCAGACAGGGACTGTAACTACTGCTACCATAAGATATCCTCACGGCCCAGGAGGCTCCTTCAATCTCAGTTTGCTAATAACGGAGAGGGACTGTTGCAATTTCAAAAAATTTCCCTTCTGTAAGCTATGACTGAGAGAGACTGGGTACAAGGATACTTCTGGATGCCACTAGCACCTCTGTTAAAACCTAGAGAACAAGAGGGCACACTCCCTTCATCTACCTCTGTTATGATCCTAGTTATATGCTGTCCAGGAGAGTATGAAGAAGAAAGCAGCCTCAGGATGCCAGTAAGGTTTCAGCCACTAAATTTCAAGCTTCAAAACTGTAACGAATTCTTAATATTAACTATATATTAATTCTTAATATATTCAGAGGCTCATAGAATGTTAGATTTAAAATTAGATCTCATTACAACAAATTCTACAAGCCTACTTTCTGTGTGGAAATTTTGTTTCATATCTTAAAGAAATGGACTGACAGTTGAAGCTGAATTTTTTTTATAATATTAAAATCATTGTAATGATAGTATTTCTTGTAATGGAATTTAACCAAGTTACCTAGTCCAAATGTGGATTTTTAACATTTGCTAATTTTAACAACAAAAAATTTGGAAATTAGGTTTATGGCTAAGGCTGCACTTTTGGATATTAAAAGAAAGTGTTACAAACCATTCAGAGTGAAAGGCAAAGATTGCAAATACTGTTTCAAAATGATTCAGTGAGCCAATATTTTAAAAATAAATGTAAACTCCAAAAGATAAATTTAAGGGAAAAAGTTGAAATTACAGAATTCAGTTTCAATCCATGAATTCCTAGATGAATTTTAGAACTGTAAGGAAATTGAAGGCTCTTTTCACAGATGAGAAACTGGCTGAGAAAAGGTACTGGTCGTGGGGCAGAACCAAGACTGGAATTCAGGCATGCTGAACTCCCTTCTGCTGAGGCGCAGCAAATTTTCTTTCCTATGCTGGTAAGGGGCTACTATTACATTTGCTGCAGACACTTGTTCCAAGGCTGAGCTGTGTAAAGGAGGAAGAATAACAAGACTAGACAGCAGCAATATACCTGTTGCTGATAAATACGTTTTGAAAGCTACTAGATAAGTTTATTCTTAGAGCTTGAAACAAGGATAGGAAACTAAGTTTTCTATGTTTACTAATCTCTTCTTTTGGGAGGGGTGCACTGAGACAAGGATGGTGGTACCATCTTACTGCCTGCTCAGAAACTTGTACTAATTATATTCTGGTGTATTAGTGAAATAAGAAAGCAATTTTATCTTTCTGGTTTAACTCCATGAGTTTAACAAACAGGATAAGAATCGAGTCCTTAGTGTTTAGTTAAGCCTCATACAAAAGATAAACTGGCATCCTGTCAAGAATAAGCAAATCCTTGAGGGGAGAGGAGAGTGATGGTACAGACAACTCAGAACTGTCAAAAAGAAAAAAAAAAAGAAGCTGTTCAACCAACCCTTCTTTCCTTCACATCCTGGTCCACTTCATACCATCAACAAGCACAACAAAGGTAAAACTTGGAGTAACAACAAATGCTACACATCCAGGCATAAACCACAAAGATGCCTTAGGCAAGCAAACAGCAGGTGAGGCTCTTAAACATCACAAAAAGAAAGACAACCAGACATTATATGCTTCCTGGTGGAAGTACCTATAAAGTATTCTTGCCATATATTTAATCTGAATTGGATCAAATCTCAAGATTAAACTACCAATTCACAAACAATATGAAACAGATGATTGTATCAAATAACATCAGAGAAATGCATTCAGAAATCTTAAATACGGAAACACTCAGGACAGAGGAATCGATCTCCTCAACAAATAAACTGAAAGGAAAAAAGGGAAGGGAGGGCCTTATAGATTAAGGGAGACCTGATGTGTATCCTCACTTCAACCATTGCTAAATATAAACTAACCGAAGAACAAAACACCTTTTTAGGCAGGAAAGTTTGAACACTGACTAGTTGATATTAAGAAATTATGTGATAATACTGATGTCATGGTTATGTCTTTTTAAGAATCCTTAGCTACAAAAAACAATGGTGAACTAGCACCTCTTGTACTATCCTGGATGGAGCTGGAGCCCATTCCACTAAGTGAAATGTCACAAGAATGGAAAAACAAGCACCACATGTACTCACCATCAAATTGGTACTAACTGATCAACACTTATGTGCACAAATAGTAATAATATTCATCGGGTGTCCGGGAGGTGGAAGGGGGAGGAGGGGATGAGTATATTCACACCTAATGGGTGCGGTGTGCACTATCTGGGGTATGGACACAACTCGGGCGGGGCAAAGGCAATATATATGTAACCTAAACATTTGTACTACCGTAATACCCTGAAATTAAAAAAAAAAGAATCCTTAATATTTAGCAATGCATTCTGAAATATCCATGGATGAATACCACGTCTGGGTGAACTGATAATGCTTAAGCCGAGTGATAAATACCTGGATGTTCGTTATACTTGTTTCCATATACTTAACTGTTTTTCATAACAAGTGAAAAACAAAACCAAAAGCCCTCGTTGTGAGGTTTTAGTCGGAGTCTCGGTACTGCATTCCAGCGTGACACCACCCGGCCGTGTCTCCTTCCCCTCCCCAGGTCTCGGATATCCCGCCTGTTACAGTGACGAGTGGAAAAGCCCCGTCGGCTCTAAGTCTCTGGATCAGAGACTGAGCAACGTGGCAAGCAGGACACTGGGTGAGAGGCAGCGGCCCGAGGCGGAATACCGCGCAGGAGGCTTCGCTCGCAGAAGCTCCTCGCACCGTCCATGCAGACGGCTCCTCGCGGGTGGGCTCCCTCCCCGCGTTCCCTGCCAACCCCATCCTAGGCCTCGCCTTGGCCTTTCTGGGAAGACGAGCATCCTCGTGCCGGGTTAACACACAGGGCCGCCGGTCAACTCAGTTGGCTGAACAAGAGCTCCAGGCAACACCAGCCGCGCACCCACCCAGGGAGACGCGTAAGCCCCCACTTCTCGCGATAGTTACCTCCCGGGACTCGCGCGGAAGGAGGCCGCACAGGCGCACTGGCGAATGTAAACGGAGTACAGCATCTCGGCCTCGGTGTACTCGCCCTTCTTAAAATGAGCGTGGGCAAGTGCTAGGGTTGCGTGGCTTTCTTGCCCCTTCTGCCCTTCCATAGCGGTCGAAGAGCTAGTTTTCGGTGTGGAAAGGGAGTTGGTTTCTGAGCGATTATAGGCGGCACCACAAAGCCACTTCCGCACCCCGGAATTTAACTTGACAGCAAAATTTGGGCGCTAAGTTTGTGCCTTCTGAGGACCCGTCGTCTCGCGATATAATTGGTCGGCTGCTGGCAGAGCGCTTGGGAGTCCAGAGTAGCGGCTTCTGCGAACTGCATTTTTATCGTTATTACCGTTGGTTCCGACTGCCTCATTTCCCAGAAAAGCATCAGATCCACAGTAGCAAACTGGCTTCCAAATCCATTGTCTGAATAGCTAGGCGCCTGCCCTTAGTTATAGCGGATTGCGGCCTGATCATGCCGGAAGCGGAAGCAGCCACGGTTTGTTTGTGAATAGCTAATTGGCCTGCGAACTTCTTGTAGCTTCCTGCAGGTTCCAGCGTCCCCACTTGGCAAAACACCGCGTTTAGGGTGTTCTGAGTAGGCTTGGCTAACCTGAGACACTTTGTGTCGAAATTGCAAGAGCTTTATTGTCCCACAGCCCTATGTTCGAATTCAAATTCTACTGTTTATTAGCTTCAGAACCCTAGGGGCAAACTTCTCCGCCTTTTTGACCCTCTGGAATTGTGTTAGGATTAAATAGTATATTGTGGGTGTCTGTGGTCTTTGATCTTAGTTTACATTCTCTGGCTGTTTATGCCAAAGGGAAATCCAAATTAGTAATTCAGACCTTTCCTTCAAATTAAAATTATGTAAAACGTTTTGCTAACCACAATACAGTACATACGTGCTGTGTGTCTTCCCCCGGGTCCCTCAGTTCTGTTTTACTTCCCAAACTGACGCCCTTTCCGTCAGAAAAAGTGAAGACGTAAAATATATTTGGGGCGTGATATTTGCATAAAAAAGCCTCACCAGGGAGCAAGCCAGGCAGAAGAAACAGCAAGTGTAAAAACTATGAGGTATATTTGTTTTGTTCAAGGAATAACAAAGATATTCATGTCTAACACCCAGTGATTGAAGGGGAAAATAGCAGGATATGTAGTAAAGATTGGGAATTTGGGAGGAGTTGTTCTGGATAGGAGTAAGGTTTTTAACCCTTTTTATGCCATGGCCCCTTTGGCAATCTGGGGAAGCCTATGTCTCCTAAATGTTTTCAAGTGTATTTAAAATACAGGCTTACAAAGGAAACCAATGATATTAAAACACAGTTGCTCAACGTCTCTAATCATCAGGAAGATGCAAATCAAAACCACGAGCTATCATCTAACTCCAGTGAGAATGGCTTTTATCAAAAAGTCCCAAAACAACAGTTGCTGGCATGGATGCGGAGAGAAAGGAATACTTACACACTCTTGGTAGGAATGCAAAGTAGTACAGCCTCTATGGAAAATAGTATAGAGATACCTCAAAGAACTTAAAGTAAACGTACCATTTGATCCAGCAATCCCAATACTGGGCATTTACCCAAAGGAAAAAAAGACATTTTATAAAAAAAACACTTGAACTCGAATGTTTATAGCAGCAGAATTCACAATTGCAAAGATGTGGAAACAATCCAAGTGCCCATCAATACATGAGTGGATTAATAAAGTGTGGTATATGTATACCATGGAGTATTACTCAGCCATAAATAAAATGGTAAACTAATACGTTTTGTAACAACCTGGATGGAACTGGAAACAGTACTTTTAAGTGAAGTATCACAAGAATGGAAAAACAAAAGCCACGTGTAATCACTACTAAATTGGAACTAATAGATCAATACTCATGTGCACAGATGGTAGCAAAATTCAATGAAAACCAAGCAGGTGGGAGGGGGTAGGAAGGGATGGGTAAATTAACACCCAACAGGTAAAATGTACACTATCTGGGTGATGGACACACTTATAACTTTGACTCAAACTGTACAAAAGCAATTCATGTAACCAAAACATTTGTACCCCCATAATATTCTGAAATAAAAAAGTAAAAAACGCAGTTGTAGAAATATAAACAGATTTATAAAATCATAAGATATACTTCTTATTAACACATTAAATATCAAGTGGCAAACCCAAAGCTAGCAGAGGAAAAAAATAATAAACATAAAAACACATAAACCAGAATAGAAAAACAAGAGAAAACCAAAAGTTGATTTTTCAAAAAGATTAACAAAAATTAATAGACCTTTAGCTAAATTGACTATGAAAAAAAGAAAAGACTCATTACTAAAGACAGAAATGAAAGTGA